GGGCAGCGCTCTGCCGGGCGCCCGTGGAGCGATGTGTGCTCCGTGTGTCGGTGAAGTCCCAGGAGCTACGTATTTAGTTTGAGGTTTGCCCGGGTGTTTCGTGGGTGTCTTTGATCTCCGCGTCTGCAGCTAAATAGTCACTTCGGGACTGGGTTGTTTGTATCGCCCTGCCGCCCTCAGCAGGTGCAGGATTCTGCTCCGGCCGATCCCCGGCGTCGGTCCTTGCCAGCTTCTGTCTGCTCTACACCTCGTTGCAACTACGGTTTAGGCTAAACCTGCGATTTTCGGTAGCGGTGACGTTGTCCTTTCGGCAACGTCCCCAGTGCCTGAACGAGAAATAACTTTAAGACCATCTTCAAAACGTTTTCAAGTTCTGCCGAAGTGGAGTTCATCTTTCAGGGATGCTGTGCGAAAGCCTTTCAGTGGCGGGTGAGTGGCCGCAGTGTGATGGGGGAAGGAAGAGAGAATCCTCCCAAACGCGTTTCCCTGCTCCCTGTCTCGTTTGTGTAGGAGGCAAGAGGGATCTGGCAATCACAGGGTACAACTGGTCTTCAAATTAATGGTTCAGAAGTAGACTTTCTGTATGATTTTCTGTAAATTGCTGAATTTCTTGTATCTTGTTTTTCTGCTTGTGAAGTGAGAAATTAACACTTCCCTACTTACTAAACAAAGTAATTTTGTTTGGTGTATCGCTCGAAAACAGAAATTGGGATAGAAAATCGTGGCTTTGTTGTTCCATTTTTGGGGAACCTACACGTGGCACGAAGAATGGCTGGGCTGAATTTAGAAAAATGCCTTAGCAAATGCAGCAGTCCTTCATATCTGCAATTTATTTTTAAATACTTGGCTTTTTACACTGAGTGCTTTAATAGTTTTCCCTGTGCCTTAAGGGAAATGGACAGATTGTTCAGCTGGATGATGGGATAGACCTCAATCCATTTTTAAACTGGACTTTATGTTTTTAATAGCATTTTCCCTCTCTTACTAATTAGTCTGATAATTCAGTAATTTGCAGGACTTGTAGAATATCAAGCAGAACTTGGTTTTCTTAGCACAAGTGTTCAGTAACGTCCTAATTCAGCATTCCTTATCAAAGTTTATTGACAGCTATGGCCATAGAAAGGTTAGGTATAGTTTTAAACTTAATGAATGTTTATAATGAATGAATTTTGTAAAATGAATGAATTTTGGAAATTTTTGTTATCAGTTGGAAGACTCAGGAATGCTAGGGTCACCTTTGAGTGGGCTGTTCAGAGCAACTGAGATTATTCAAAGGAGTGTTTGCTAATAAAATCCAAATGACAAAATGCCCTGACAAGTCTTCATACACTAGAAATTATACACTTTTGTTCATGATCTTATTTATTTTGGCTTTGTGCTTGCCTGGATTGAATCACAGGTCTGTGGGCTAAATTCATGGTTTGGTTTTTTTCCCCCTGCTAGAACTGCCAGATATATGCTGAATCTTTCATGCATAAAGGACTACCTCTTTATGACCTGGTCATTATCTTTGACAAACTGTTGAAACCATAGGAAAATGGTAAGTTTTATACTTTTTTAATTTAGAAATTAAAATGTAGAAAATTGTTTAGAAGTGTATCACAGGGACATTTGAACAGTTACTTTTTCATGAATGGCTGATTGTGGCTTATTTTTTCTAGTTTAATCCAGCTATCACCACATGCAAATATTTGAATTTACAGTCTTACCTCATACAACCTTATGTCTTTGTAATTT